AACTGATTGGCTGATTAAAATTTCAGTACTGTGGAGAGACTGGAATGTCACAAGTCTAGAGCCTAATTACCTTCTCTTGGGCTAAGTTCTGGCCCTCCAGAACAGCCATGTTCCCTATACCACCCACCCACACACACACACACACATACCATATCAGAGTATCCCGTGACAATAGATAGAAACCTTTGAGTGGCGAGCAGTTCCGGGAAGAAGCTGCTAGGTCTCTGTGGTCTCTTTAGTGCCGTCTACATAGTAGTTACTTGTCAAGAGTAATAATTGATAATTTCTCTTCTAAGGTACCAATGAACAATATTTTCTTGAGGTGCTCAACAATGTGTTTCACTCTAAATCTATTAAGAAACATGCTGGCATGTTTTAGTGTTCTTGTAGACCAGTTGATCCCACACGTGAAATCTAAGGCGCCTGATGATTATGAACTTACGGTTCCATTATCTGCTGATGTTTTGTTTATGACAAATGATGAAGAAGCCAGTTGTCTCAGAGTTAGTCACAGATCTAATATATGGAAAAAGAAGGAGGAAGGGAAGACTGTTCCTTTTCATCCTTCAAAACGACTTTAGAGTCTGTCATCCCCTCCTCTGAGACAGAACAAAACAGTGGCAGATGACCTGCCTGTAAGTGAAAGTCCAATGAAGAGAGCTGCCCTTGAGGATGAGCGGACCTTTCTCTGGGATCAGATTTTGGCAATTCGGGACCTGAGAGAGAGCAGAGAGACTGATAATCTGGCTTCTGAAATGAAAAGGTAGCTCGCAGGTGTTAAGAGGACCAATGATAGCCATCATTCAAACAGCCAGAGAGTCAGTGATCTTCCAAACATGTTGGATGTTCTAAAGGATATGCATAAGGTCAAATTTCGGCCTGTGGAAAGGTCACCAGGTGGTAGACCCATTCAGAAGAGGAAAAAACTGAGTTCACAATCAGATCCAGTGTCTTTAATATCTAATGACCTGAAGCAGAAGTTTGCATTTCAAGATAATTCCTTTGACAAAGAAAATAGGTCTCGGAAGTGTTCTCCATTTTCTAGTCCAGAAACTTCAAGGTTTTGACGTCACATTTCTCCAACAGAAAGTCAGCGACCTAAGGGAAGGAGTGATAATATAAAAGCAGTTACCCAGGGTATCAGAAGCAAACGCTGTGCTGACACTTGGAAGGACCGATCCAGATGTGCCATGTGGCATCCTTCAGTGCCTGTCAGAGATTGACCACCTCTGTAAGGGCAATCAAGCTGTACTCTGGGACCTATCTCCACCCAGCCTGAGGAAGACACTTAAGAATACTGCCCCTGGTTTTGAAGATGTGGTATTTATCTGCTACTAGACAGAGTTGGGTGTATAGATTCCCCACTTTATTTGAGTGCCTGAGGCTCATCGTTTATTTGGCCTTCAGCAACTTGCAGAAGAAATAGACCCTTGATAAGTTCCATCCACACTGGCTTTGCACACAGACAGCTAGTGCTTTCCCTTGATAAGTTCCATCCACACTGGCTTTGCACACACAGACAGACGGTTGGTGTGTTCCCTTGATAAATTTCATGCACACTGACTTTCTACACAGACAGCTGGCATGTTCCCATTGTTCTTTATTATGTTTGCACCCTATTTTTTGTTTTTGGTTTTTTGTAAGTATATTATAAAATAAATGGATCTTTTAAAAAATAAAAATACTAATAAAAAAAAACCCTTTTAAAATCTATTGATTCAACAGACAACTAGCTTCTACCAATCCAATCTGAGGACACTCTTGGTAGTGTCCTCAGACAGCATCCTGAGACTATAAGAAAGCTTCATTCATCTCAATGTAACATCATCTCTGATAGACCCACCAATGTATTTTAAACATTGCCTTGATTTATGACCTGTAAAAACTTTATGAAACTGCTGCCATGTTGGAACATGGAATATTTTGGATAACCAAAATCTGTGTTCCCAGGTTATAGTCACTCAAAATGGCTCCCAAATAAGCTATCTCTTATTCCATTTAAGATAAGAGCTGTGGGTTTTTGGGTCAACAACACTGTGACACAGAGAGACTTCTAGGGTAACATATTATAACCCCCTTTTGAATAGCCACTGAAATCAATCCTCCTATACTAAAAATAACATCTGGTATTTATTTGCCAAATTGTATTAGTGTCAGTGCTGGTATTTATCTATATAATCATATTTAATCTCAATAAAATTTTGAAAAGGAGATAGCAACAAGTCTCTCAGATGAGGAAACAAACCTCAGAGATGGTCACAAAAGAGAACATAAGGGCTGTGTTCCTCTCACTGAGCTCCACAGCCTCCCCACCCAGTGCCAGCATTTTAGCAGACAGGAACCTCACAACCACAGTCCTTCAGCCCTTATCCCCCTCTTACCATGTGGCATCCAATTTAACACTTCTGGTTGCTGTAACAAAATACCTGATAAAAGCCATTTTAGGAAGGAAGGGTTATTTTTGGCTAGTGTCTTAAAAAGGGATTCAGTAAGGGCTGGAGAGATGGCTCAGTGCCTGAGCATACTGGCTACTCTTCCAGAGGACTAATTCACAAGTGTCTACAACTCAAGTTCCAGTGGATCTGATACCCTCACACAGATATACATGCAGGCCAAATACCAATGCACATTCAAAGGGGGAGGAGTGTTCATCCTGGGGAAAGGCATACAGCAAGAGCCTAAGTGAGTACTTCCCTGCATCCTCAGTCAGGAAGCAGAGAAGTATAAATAGTGGTCCAGTTTCCCTTCTCCTCTCCATGTAGTCCAGGATCCCAACTCACAGAATACAAGCAGTCTTCCCACCTCAATTAACCCATCTACAAACTCCTTCACGGACATGCCCAGACGTTTGTCTCCTAGGCAACCCTCAAGTCTGTCAAGATGATATTGCATGTTAAATACTCCCACAAGGGAGTACGACATCAGGTAGGTAGACATGCTGGGTACAGAGAAGTTATCCTAGATCACACAGATATCTTGCCGGGGTAGGTATCAACCAACACAAATGCCTTCAAGCAGGACAATTCCAGATCAGCAAGAACAGTGCTTGGACTCCAGACTCTGAAGAAAGAGTCATAAGCACTGGTTCCATTTAGAATAGCAGCAAGGTGGTGCATAATTTGGGTTTTAAATGCCATCAGGGCAATACTTTTAGGGTATGGAGAGAAGATGCTTTAACTCCGACTGCTCTTGGCACATGATGAGAGATTATGACAGACACAGCTTAGGACCAGACAAGGATAAAAGCAGCTTCTCTTGATGAGAGTCAGTATTAACATTTTTCTGAGACTAGACTCAATAGAGCTAATATAAATGGGCCAGAATAATTACGGTTCTGAAAGCTCATCCATTTGGTTAGACTATTATCCAAAAGGGACTTGCTAACACACAGTCCTTAAGTAAATCCATCAGCATGCTTTGTTGATTGTACATCTGCTTTAGCTCTCAACAGGGAACACAGGGATCCTCCTGAGCTCTAAGTTGAGAAGGGGACACATTTCTGATCCCTGAAGACTCTTGGGTGCCTTTCTGGGTAATTCTTATTGCTAAGCTATGTCAGAGACATCATGTTGTAACTAGTCCTATCCCCAGGAATCCTGAAAAACAAAAAAAGGAGGAGGAGGAGGAGGAGGAAGAGGAGGAGGAAAAAAAAGAGAGGAGAAGA